CATCAAGGAGCTCCACGACTCCGGTATGAGGGTCGTCGTTGCTGGCTCGACCATCGGAGAGCTGGCCCTCCACTACCTCAACCGCTACAACATCCTCGTCATCAAGGTTCTTTCCAAATTCGAGCTTCGACGGTTATGCAGGGTAGTCGGTGCTACGCCGCTCGCTCGTCTCGGTGCACCTATGCCAGATGAGATGGGTACTATCGACGTCGTCGAGACACTGGAAATTGGCGGTGACCGCGTCACAGTATTCAGACAGGAGAATGAGCAGACACGGACCGCGACTCTGGTTCTACGCGGCGCTACTCAGAACCACCTCGACGACGTTGAGCGGGCGATTGACGACGGTGTCAACGTGGTCAAGGCCATCACCCGTGATCCTCGACTGGTCCCAGGTGCTGGAGCAACAGAGATGCAGCTTGTTGAGAAGATCAAGGCTATTGCGGACAAGACATCCGGTCTGGCGCAATACTCTATCCGCAAGTACGCTGAAGCTTTCGAGGTCATTCCACGAACTCTCGCAGAGTCAGCCGGTCTGGACGCAACTGAAGTTCTCGCCAAGCTGTACGTCGCACACGCTGCACAGAAAGGCAGGAAAGACGACGAGTGGACTGTCGGTGTCGATATTGAGAACGACGACAACACCGGTACACTCGATGCCAAGGAAGAGGGCATTCTCGATCTTTGGGTCAGCAAGATGTGGGCCATTAAGCTCGCTACCGAGGCTGCGAGGACGGTTCTCAGTGTCGACCAGATCATTGTCGCAAGGCAAGCTGGTGGACCCAAGATGCCTGGAAAGGCGCAGCCGGGCAACTGGGACCAAGATGATTAAACTCCGTTGCCGGTATGAGGGGTAGTGTATAATGACATCGACTAGACGCTATTGAAGCACCAGACGAATGATATCTTCGTTCTACCTCACCGGGTTTCGGCTGTTCACGTGTCACGTATATCAGGTATGGAAGTACCGAATGCTTCTGAGCGAACCCGACCAACATTGGAGCTGATGTGATCATTTGTCCGGCTTCTCGGGCACTCGTGGGGTTGTTCTTAACATGATGTCTCTTCGACCCAAGCTACCAAAACCCAGAGCTCGTACCAGGATGTCAGTCCGTTGGCTTTCATTGGATTACGAACATGAGGTTTGTTTTTCTTCTTCAGCTCAGTTCTGAGCTCACATACGGTCCTTGTGTGGTCTTACTTTGATCCTGGTCTAGCTGGAAACTTGCAGTAGCAGTCCAATCAATCCTCGCCGCGGAAGCGGCCTTATCTACCCCTCGTTGATTCTGAACGCAATCCTTCAGCCAAGAGCATGCAGAGTTTATCGATTCTTGCTCTAGCATTACAGCTATGTCAACCCTTACTGCAGACTTGTCCAGGGTCTGGTTGGAATGAGCAGCAGACGTTGCTACCCGAGATGCATGATGCATCGGCACCCTGCTCCCACTCCCGCTGCTTCCATAGATCACGCGGTCCGTGTTTCGCGCTTGGCCCGACAGAGGCATGATCCGCGACAATGATGCCGCAGGATGCTGGGTGAACGCGACAGATCGCTTTCCTTTTTGTTCTTCCAGTATTCTTTTATAAGCATAATTTCCACGGAAGTGCCGAATCGCTTGGCGTCTGGCGAAGTATAAAAAGCCCTCCTTTCGCCCCGGTCTATCTGTACGCCACATTTCCCGTGATTTCCAACATATCGCTCTTCGCTCGATCAACGTACACGCGTCAATACCGAACACATCTACTGAGCACTTTGCTCAATGCGCAGGTCGTAAACTGTGGTATGGTCTTCAAATCTAGTTAGCCCTTTTTGACTAACTGTTCGATAGTCGAGAACATCATCAACGCTGTCCTGCCGAGCACCAATATCCCATTCATCGCCCTACAGTATCTCGCTGTGAGTTCCCTACCTACACCCATCCCCCATCACCACCTATCCACATATCTACATACCCCCATCTCCCCACCACCCAATCTCCCCAAAGCCGGTCTCAATCCCTACGCCTCACGGTGCAGGTCCTTTGGTGTTAAAAATTATTTGTGTCACTTATTGTTACTCCATTGGAACGACTATAATCTCAAGATTATCTAGACTTGGACATTATACCGTTTGAACCTCTATTGAGGATCGCGATGAGAACGGCATATTTGCCGATCTGTCAGTCTGGGACGTTCAGCAGCCACTACGATGGGTCCAGTCGTCTCTGTGTTCATCGATCTGCATGCATAATGCATTGATTGGAACTTGAGATGAGAGGTACCCATTGCGTCTTCTGCTGCTGAACTCGTCGTTCACTCAATGTTATTTGATCTTCCAAAGATCTCTCAATGACCTCGTCGATACATCGTTATCACGTTGTCGCCACATCAATGTTACATATCATTTGATAGTATTCTTTTTGAATATTATCATCTGCTCGTCACGAGGTGGTAGTATCTCGCTTGTTGACCGGCAGCGAGACACTATCATCTCTGGCAAACAAAGTCAGCACTCTTGAACGCCTTCAAGCGTATAGAGAAACCGACTGACCGATACAGATTGCCTGGTATGCAATCTCCAATCTCTTCTATGCGCTTAAAGCTAACTTTCCATAGAAGCTCCCTCTTACGCATCCACAGAAATCACCATGCGATATTCCCCTCCGCAGCAAAATGCGGACCTTGGTCCTAGGGGTTCAATCAGACTTCCGGCGACTAGAAGGAAGGCAATGAATCCGGTCACCCCCATTCGCAACGCCAGTGGGGTTCAGAAGGGTTGGAAAAGGTCCGCTTCAACCAGGATCCACCCCAGGTTCCCGGTGGATGGTGCTCTCGATAAATTCAACTTCTCCATGCAAGAGGACGATGGCGCTAGCGACCATGGCGAGGTAGGTATAGAGGGAGAGATCCGTGTGAGCTGCCCATTTCACAAGCATGATCCGAAGGCGCACCAGTTATCATCGTGCAAAGGGAAGGGGTATCTTGAGCTTGCCAAGTTGAAGTATGTCTGCGTTCAAAATCAGAACTCTTCACCGGCTTGGGTTCTAACACACATCAGAGATCATTTGAAACAAGTACAGGGTTTGTCGCTGGAACGCCTCGATGCCGATTTCAACTTCAAGAAAAGAGAATACCGTAATCTCAGGACACTAGAGGAGAAGTGGAGATTGGTTTACCGCCGCCTGTTTCCCGAAGAACCCGAAGATTCCATGCCTGTGCCTTGGGCCAACGAAGATCGTGACCAGTATGATGGACTACTCTCCGAGCTTGAGAGCGTTGCGGGTCGCCAAACAATGGGAGAGAAAGCCTTTCGAGACGGGGTCCTCGATTTTGCGCGCAGGTTCGTACAGGAACGTCACTCTGCAAGATCGAAATCAGTCGATTCGGCAGTGGATTTCATGACGAACCCTCCAACGAGCGCCACCATACACACACCCCTATCACCGCCCGTGTCCCACGAGTATAACTTCCGAACGACCACGGATGACGAGGGCTACTGCGGTCAAAGCCCTAGGCTTGCCAACAAAACCAGCACAAATCTCGATGCGTACGCACCAGCGGCTGCAGACCCCTGGTCATTCGAACAAGTCTTCAACGCGGACCCATATTCAACCAACAACAACCAGGAATGGAACATCAGATCACAGCCTTTGTCGGCTATTTCTACAGATGGAGTCAGGTCGCTGGAGGACGTTGCGTGCTCTAGTCTACCACCCGCCCCGATCCTTCAGCCACACGCTGGTGGCGCTTATCACGGGTACGCTCCATCAAATGCGAATATCAGTTCGTCTCCGACGTATGACTATTCTCTCAGCGGCCATGACACCACTTTTTACCCTCGTCTTGAAACAAGGATCCCTGCTCAACGGACTCCATACCTTTCAGATCCCATATTCAACTCGGGATCAAGTTTGGATGAAACTTCGGAATCGCTATCCGCAGTTCACCCCAGCTTCGAAGAGCACAGTCACGCACAACCATCCCTGTCGCTTCCAAGTTCATGTCTTAATAACGCGAACGATCGTCTTGATATGGAGGATTTGGAACACAAATATGATCCCAGCATCGACGAAGGTATCTTTTTCGATTTGGAGGCACTGCATTCCGCATGATTCTGATGCTTGTTGAATCAGTTTCATTGTCAACATGTTTATCGGCGTTTGTACGTGGACGGGCGCATGGAGGGTTCATATCGTTTCTATCTTATTACAGGAGTCGAAAGGGGCGTCCTGAATGGCGAACATGACAAGCAAATTGCTTCCGGTGCCTGTAAACAGCGACATGCGTGATGTTTGTTGATCTCTGCTTGTGTTTGGTGGGCCCTTATGACTGGTCGTTCGAAAGCACCTGACCACACAAAAGAAACGGAACAACGATTACCTAAGACGTGAGATACCGGCGGTACCTTCTTCACGTCGGTTGCAGTGGACTATTGTTTTCATGCCGTTGCAATGGCCATGTAGAGAGGAAAGTGGTGCGCCACCACCGCGACTGCTCATGTCGCTAGCGTGGACCGATTGCAACCAGCCTTCCGGGTACCAACTTATGATCATGGGCTGATCCTCATTTCCACGCTCTTCTACGGATCAACGACGGATCGAACGTACTCCCACGACCCACTCATTCTCGCATTGTTATCGTGGCCCTTCATTCATAGCAACAGACATACCCCACCAGGCAACCCCGGAACTCAACACCGACTCCAGCCGTTTGGATCGGATTTGCCCGGATCATATCTAGAACCCTTCCTCGCCCATAACATCGTCACGTCGGAACTGCGAGAGACTGCGACCCAATTACCACCGTTATCCTCGGTAAAGGACTTCCTCAACTCAAACATGACAACATCAAGTATCCACAGGCACATTGAGGGGGGAAACGCGGAATTCATTGCGGGCTGTGGTTTATCGGGGTTCAGTCTGAGCCCTAGCATTCGAATTACCAACAAACTTTCGATGAGGGCGCATGCGAACACGATACTGATATCATGGCGTCCAAGCAGTGACTTTGGGTCGTCAGTCATGAAGACCAATCTTCAATCGGTTGCTGGTCCGCTCAGATTCTACGATGAAGGGGACATCAACAACACACTCCACTCTTCCGTGCGTGGACGCTTGCCCACAAACACTATCGCCGGCTTTTACCAACCGGAACATGCGCTTGCAGCCTTGAAGCATCTCAGCGGCAACGTGGAATTAGACGCGCATTTGATGTATACTGTGTACTTCACTGCACCAAAAGAGCTCTCCGACCCTGTCATGGCCAATGTGGAAGACATGATCTCGCAAGTTGCAGAAGTGGACGCAGTCTGGAAGAAGCCTCGAGAGGGTATGGTCACATTGCGCTTATCGGGAACGAATCAAGAAAAGGTTGTCGACATGAAGAGGACACTGGAGGCCCTGCTTTCAGGAAGAATAGCGACCACGGGACTAGATGGTCATGCTGAGCGATACGAGATCTGGCACGACTTCTTCGCAACTGCATCTGGAGCTGGGTGGCTACAAGACCTGGCACGAAAAAACGGTGTGACAATCATAAGTGATAAGTTCCAACAGCGTCTGCGTGTTTATGATCCTGAACAGGATGATGCACGAATGGGGCTTGTTGAGCACACCCTTGCAGAGAAAGCCATCATGCAGAGCACATTGGAAGAAACGACCACTATCAAATTCACTTTGAAAAACTTCCAAGAGCTTCTTACGTCGGACAAGGTTGCCCGTGCTCGGGTCAAGTTGGGTGAGACAAAAGTCAGCCTTGATATGCTAAAGAAAGCACTGGTCCTTCATTGCACTCAGCAGACCGCCTGGCTGGTTATATCTGAGCTAAATTTACCACTACCACACCACACATGTCCCCTCTGCGACGATGCGACAAACGACGTTAAGCTCTCCAACTGCGGCCACTATGCCTGCAAGGAATGCTTCGATCTTCAACTGGAGGTAGCTTCATCCGATCTAAGCAAGGATCACTTTCCGCTAGTATGTTGGCACGACGACTGCAAACAACCAATAGCCATCGCAGACCTACATAAACACCCTACCGGCACGATGATCGATGCGTTGCTCAAGGCATCGTTAAATTATTATATCCGATCCTCTCCAGCTATCTATCGCAACTGTCGAGCGCCTGACTGCAAAGCAGTGTATCGGCGCGGCGGATCTCATGGGATCTTCACATGCCCTACATGTCTGACCCAGACGTGCACTCTATGCCATGCAGAGCCCCATGTCGGTTTGACTTGCGCAGAATCGCATGTCCCCAAGAACAAGCATAACGAGCAGCTTCTGGACGAGTACAAAGCGGGCGCTGGTACGAAAGAATGCCGAAATTGCGGCACACTTATCGAGAAAGCCGACGGATGCAACCACGTCGAGTGCCACGTCTGTCACGTACACATATGCTGGGTGTGTCTCGAGGTCTTCTCACAAATGGGGGCAGTGTACCAGCACATGAACGACGCGCATGGAGGAAATGGGCTGGTGGAATGAACGGACGACGAAGACAGCGACTCCGGCAGTGATGACGATGAACGGGAGGATGAAAACGATGTCGCAGACTTGATTTGAGCGCATGCTCTGATTGAGAAACCTCTTGTGCGTCTTGTGGATGGGATCTGGAGGTGTTCAAGGGTCCATTGGGGAGTAGGTGGGATATCGCATTCTTCATTCAATGTGACTAAATTCCATAAACGCGAAACAAATAAAGCTTGTGAATGGAAAAGACAGTAGTGATTGATAAATCCTTGGATCAGCAAGCGGAAATGCAGCGTCCTTGAGCATCAGAGCCAATGAGAGCTGCCGATGCCTTGGCGATGTGCTTACGAACTGTCGGTCTCACGGATCTGTGGGCATCCGACCGGCGGGTCTGCCCTTCCCTCATTACAAACCTCGCTTGTGTGCTATCGCGACGCGTTAACGGCCGACACAGCGAGGAAGTGTCTGTAGGGCCTTACGTTGATGTGACTGGGATTCAGTGCTTGATTACAAGTTTCCCGAAAAATTGGTCCGTCGTTCAGGTGATGACAGGCGCTCGGTGCATACGCGGTTGAGGAGGTGAGTATATGTAGAGCAAGGCATCGTCGGCTTTCAGATCATTCAACACATCGCATCTCAACATCCCACTTCCAGACATATTGAACATATCACACATCATCTCAAACTTTACTTCTACGTTACTTTCTGGCCTCCTGCACGACCATTTTCACGATGTCAGAACAACGCAACATTGTCATTGTTGGCGCATCGGGCGCGGGCATACAGGCAACCCATTACATCCTGAAGCACATTCTACCAGCTCTCAAGGCAAAGAATGACGCCAAGTATCATGTCTACAACATCTCGCCATCTTCACAGTGGTACTTCAGGGTTGCCTCTCCACGAGTGGCAGCTTCTACCGAGCGCATGTCGACCGACAAGGTCCTCTTCGATCTGCATGAGGGCTTCAAGCAATACTCCAAAGACGACTTTACTTTCATCGAAGCCTCTGCTACGGGTCTAGAGCCATCATCGCGGCGCCTCCTATTTCGCAGCAACAAGGGACAAGAAGACGAATCATTGACGTATCATGCGCTCGTCGTGGCAACTGGAAGCAAGACTTATTTCCAAGCTTTCTCGATGAGCGCCGATGCTCAAAGTACCCTGAACGCGATCAGCTCGGCAAACGAGCAAATCGCATCGGCAAAGAAGATTGTTATCGTTGGTGGAGGCGCGACAGGCGTAGAATTTGCGGGCGAAGTTGCTGAGCATCGCAACGGCAAGCCAGGATGGTTCAGCAAGGTGCAGCCAAAAGTTGACGTTACCCTGATCACATCGGACAAGCAGCTTCTCCCCGGTCTCCGGCCTGCAATCGCCAAAGTTGCAGAGCAGAAACTCAAAGCGCTCGGGGTGGAGGTCGTCTACAACACGCGAGTGGTCGATTCAACGCAGACAAAAGATGGTCGCACGGCGCTGACCCTCAAGGACGGTGGCAAGCTTGAGGCAGACCTCTACGTTCCCGCTTATGGCGTTCAACCAAACTCGTCGTGGCTGCCAGATCAATTGCTCAATGAAAAGGGCTACCTCGTAACGAACGATTCCACCCTTCGCGTCGACATCGCAGGCCCCCGCGTCTACGGCTTCGGCGACATCGCATCATATTCGCGCAACAACTACTGGGACATTAACCTGGCTCTACCTACCCTAGTCACCAACATCAAGCGCGACCTGCTCTCTTACAACCCCATGCTTCCAGAGGCGAAACCCAAGGGCAAGGACAGAGTGTACACAGCTAACACGACGGAGTCTATGGTTGTCCCCATCGGTAGCGGCGGCGGTGTTGGTGCCGTTTTTGGATGGAAGGTACCTTCATTCTTCGTGTGGATTCTGAAGGGGAGGGATTACATGTTGGGTATGAGTGGGCTGCCGACGCTGAATGGGGACAAGGTCAAGAAGGAGGTCAAGTGGACGAAGGAGGAGGCTGCGATCTGAGTTTGACTGTGTGCATAGCGAATTTTCCTATTTTCATAGCTTGTGATGTTTCCGTGTGTTCTTTGCAGTTGTAGAATCTTGGTAATGTTAATAATACTTGATGTCAAATGTGCTTTCCCAAGACTCTTTCCAAGGTTGTGTGTTGTGAATAGTGACTGCCTGCGCTGCGGAGAAGGATGCAACGCGATTGGTTTCGAGCTCGCTCCACGACGGCGCGCTCCGCGTCGACATCACTCCTTTCCACCCTTGGACCCCACGTACACGGCGCAAATGCGGGGTGAGTAGGACATCAAATGGATTTCGTACGTCTTCGCCCTGCTGCAGCTATGGTTCGCGCACTGACGACAGCAAGTGGGTGAGGCTACTCGGCGGGTCGTCCCAGAAGAAGAAGCAGGCCGCCCCGAACAACCCGCAACAGCGGCTGGCACGCTTCCGCCAGCGCTACAATCAGATACTGGTAGGCCTGGCTGCGTAACCCGAAATGCTGCGAGTCTGACACACGGCAGCAAACATGGCAGAAGTCGACCAACCTCGCCCACGACCGCGAAGCCCTGGGCAACATCCGGCGCGGCTTCCAGGCCCTCACAGCCATCCTCAGCGATGAGTCGCGATCCCCTGCGCCGCACATGTGCCTCCAGTTCGCCGCTGCCCAGCAGATATACACGGCCGTCTCCAAGATCGCGGCGACGGCACACGATGAGGGTACCGTTAGGGACGCCGTGGCCTTCTACAATGCCCTCATCGACAGCGAGGAAGAGGACTTCCTCGAAAACGACGTCTTCGCCGCCTCGCTCATGAACTTCATCGACCGCACAGTCGGGTCTGGCAGCATGGGCATAGGAGAGGACATCGAGGCCGACATCGTGGAGCTGCTCTTCGGCATCGCAGCCAAGATCCGGCTACAGCCAGAGATTCTGCATGTCTGGTTCACGACCACATCCGCAAACAGCGAGGGACGAGTGCTAAATCCCAAAACCGATTTCGCCGGCGTTACACAGAAAGAGGACTTTCCGTTGTGCTATCAGCTCATCGACCATGTCCACCACGAAGGCCGTATCGGGGATTTTGCGCGCACCGGATTGCTGTACATATTCGAGTCTGCGTCCAGGTCAATGGATCTGGAGCAGTGGATCGTCAACAGCGATCTGCCTACGCTGATGGCGACCGGTCTGGGAGCACTATACAGCCAGATGAGCAGGTATGAAGTGTACCGAACCCGAGACAACGAAGCTAACATTGTCCAGGAAGCTGTCGATACTCCACCCCGCGCATGACCTGCCTCCTGTCTTACTACTCTCCGACTACACTGAGATGCAGCCCAATCCACAAGCAGAGAACTTCTTCACACCCGACTTCCAGAGCCATCTTCTCACCTTCTTGTCTTATCTTGCCTTCTGGCAAGATGTGCTCGAGCATTGCAGATCTCTGGATGTTAGAGTAACATTGATTGACCACTTTCAAGCTTTGTTCCTCCAGCAGCTATTGTGTGTTACTCTCATATGTCTTCAATGTGTACATAGCTGACTCCGTGCAGATACCCTTCACTACTTGAGTCGTCCGACGCCGATGGCGGTTCATCCGTCGCAGTGCTTACGTACCTTCGCCATATACTAGATGCGCTTGACCACCCCGAGCTCGTGCACATGATGCTTCAGTATCTACTCGCACTCCTGGACTACGCGTCTACCACGACACCACGGTCCCCCGCAGCTGTCAAGCGTCGTCAGTCACTTATGCTGCTTACTGCATCGGATAAGGATGAAGACAAATTGAACCCATCCTTGTTTAATCTGGTCGACTTGGTCTTGGGAAGCACCGCATCGCGCAATCCACAGACGGTCATTGCATCATTGAAGTTGACGACTGTGATATTGAGCAAAAGCCATGGATACGCTCTCGGATCTCTCGTCAAGGTGATGAACTTGCATCATAAAGAACACAATAGAACTGTTGGATCCCTGAACAAGGAGCTTGAGCTGTATCTAAACCTCGCCATCGATCTCGCCGGCTTGGAAGGTGTTGATGAAGCGTACGAGAACTATCTAAAAGATACTCTGAGTTTGTTGGAGTCACATCCCTGCTCTTTGAAGACCATTGCTTTACCCGCGACGTCTTCGAAGAGTCCAGGATACTTCGACTCGACTGAAGCTTCAGCTAGGGAGGTGGATCCACATCAGTTGCTTCCAGAAGATCCGCTCTTCCAGTCTCTCATGGATTTACTTCTGAGGTTCCTTACGAACGATGTCGAGACAAACCTGGCGCTTACTGAAGCATTGATTACGCTCGGCACCTGCTCACAGCTACGTCTGGAAGGATGGTTATCCGTGGATCCTGCCGACTATCACTTCGAAAGCGACAGTCCTGAAGTCGAGTCGTTCACGAATGACAACTTGCGCGCCATGTTCCTGGCAGAAAGGTTTCCGAAATGGGATTCATCTGCTACCCCTCAACTATTTGCATGCCTGCAACGTCTCCAGGCGCAAGTCGATGCCCTGCGCAGCGATATCAAGGACTGGGATGAGCACGTTGCGAACCGCAAGCATGCCTTCCGCTTCCATCAGGATCTTGTAGAGGAATCAAAAATGTCAACACCTCAGTCAAAGCCTGCGCGACCACCCTCGGAAACTCCAGCAGGATCTTGGACACCGCAAATACCACAACACGTGCGTAACCAACCGACGACGCCCTCCAGAGCGCAATCTCCGAGAGGCAGGAAGGAAACTCTTTCTGAAGCAAGGAACACCCCCACTACATCACCCGCACCATCAAGATATGGGGGCCAGACACTCGTTGGTTCACCTGCCCGAGCATCGTCCCCTATGTCAGGAACATACGCCGTACAGCAGCCTTCTTTGATGTCCGACGTCGACGCTAGCATATCACAGATCAGGATGAGTCAGTTCGGCAAGAGGCGTATTCGCTTCCGCCGGCCGGCTGGATCAAAGGAGGTGGAGGTCATGCTATCGAAGTTCCAACCACCGCCAAAGGAACCTTCTGATGACGCGGCGACTGGTGCTGAGGAT